GCAGAGTCCTCCAGCAGAGCAGAGTATTTCAGGAGAGGGGACCATAGGGTGGTCTGCATGCCCACTGCTCCACACTGACACCAACCCATCAAGGCATTGTGATATTTTGCATAACTCCTCCCACTGCCTGCATCAGGACTGAGGGCTCTTGGGAGGAGTACTGAGGCCGGGTGCTGTGATGTTTTCAGAAAGCTGTGTACAGCACCCTGATGGCCCCTCCTACTAGCCATGATCTGCCTGAACTGCATGGAGAAGCACAGGGACCCAGTGATGACATCATAGGGTAGAAAATAATGTATATAATGAAAACGGAAATGTTCAATCTACAGCTGGATCCCCCAATCCCCTGAATATTACCGGCGACACCATTTGGCATTGCAATGGGCGGGGCAGTTGGGCGGAGCCGGGAATCCAGGGTTGGAGCCCCAAATAAGACTGAGAACCAGGCAAAGGACACAACGTGACAGGAAGTTGAGCTCTCGGCGGGGTCGTCCTTTATATGACATCGGCTGGATGTGATTGGCATTGGTATCAGGAACGTCAGTCGGTGAAGCAACAAATATTCCGTCATCGGGTGTTTGTCACTGGCACAGATGGCGGCTATGAGGGGTCATCAGCGGGTGGTATAACCCGTGACTCTCTGTGTCCCGGGGTGAGGGGCAAACTGCAATCATGTTTCCCAACCTTTTATAGGAGCCGCTTTCTGCTAATACAAAGTTACAATGTACAGTTTGATCACTGGGGGAAGGGAGACAGAGGACATGCTTCCTCCTGCCTGCGGCAGACTGATACCTGGAGGAGGGGAGACTGAGGAAATGCTTCCTCCTGCCTGCAGCACACTGATCACTGGGAAGGGGAGACTGAGGAAATTCTTCCTCCTGCCTGCAGCAGACTGATCACTGGGGGAGGGGAGACTGAGAAAATGCTTCCTCCTGACTGAAGCAGACTGATGACTGGGGGAGGGGAGACTGAGGAAATGCTTCCTCCTGCCGGCAGCACACTGATCACTGGGGAGGGGAGGCTGAGGAAATTCTTCCTCCTGCCTGCGGCAGACTGATCACTGGGGGAGGGGAGACTGAGGAAATGCTTCCTCCTGCACGCAGCAGACTGCAGTAGCTTTTTTCTTTCCGGTATCATAAAAATGACAATGGCGTCCCTCCCGGCGGTGCTGACCCAGGTGTCGGGTTAATCATTTCTTGGGATACCTC